CAGAAATGCCAACGTTTTTCTCTAATTTCTTTTTTGTGTTAAATTTTACTTATTCTTTTCATTTTATGCATTTCTGTGTGATTAATGCCAAAAAAAACACATTTTGGCGAAACTCACTAAGTAACTGTTTAACTACCCAACTGTCGGATTGACTAACTGCTGGAATGAACAACAGTAGGACTGACTAATCGACAATGGGACTGACTGGCCAGTCGGCTGACCGATCGATTGAGTTATTTGTTAAAATAGAAATAAGTTATTCGCATGTTGGACAGCTTTCATATAATTTTATTATGGAATGCATTTTTGCATAATTTTTATGTATATATGCAATACAAAGGAATTCTTAGAATTAAATTCCTCTCTAAAATCATGCATTATAAGCTTGTCTGGCGTACTTTAAGCCCTAGTAACAAAAACAGCAAGCCGTCTAGAAAATAATAAGAAACAGAAAGGGGAACAATCAAGGAAATGAGAATAGGAAAAAAATGCAAGGCAGGTACTTTTGTGTTTAAAGATAATCATACTTAGTGCATTTTTTCCAAATCCTGAAAGAATATTCGCTATCCTGAAAGTAATCGAATTGCTTTCATCGTTTCCGTAAAAAATAACTTATTTTAGGTGAAGCTTGGAAGATTACAGTACAAGCTGGATTATGATTTTCAACAAAATCAGGTGATTCTTCGAAAATTTTAGACTTTTCCGAATTTTATTTAGAATTTTGTAAAAGATTGAATGCAAGAGTGTTTTGAGCCCTCACTGAATTTTTTGAGTGGAAAAAAGAAAAGAAGAAAAGCTAAAGACGGAGTAAAATCGGTAATATCTCCTACCATAATTAAACACCTAATTTTTCAGGCTCTGAACTTGACGTCCTTAAATTTTAAAATTTCCGCTAATCAATTGAAATAAATCCTCGCAAATTCAGCTGGCTGTAACAGTGATACAAGCTGAAGATTTGCCGGGTATGGATATGAGTGGAACGTCGGATCCTTACGTCAAACTGTATCTGCTTCCGGAAAAAAAGAAAAAAGTGGAAACCAAAGTGCATCGAAAAACGCTCAATCCAGTCTTCAATGAAACATTCATTTTTAAGGCAACGTTTTATTTTTCCTTTTTCGTTTGGAATTCTATTTGGAATTATATTTTCTGGCTTATTTAGTTCAAAAAAACCTCATTTCATTCCCTTCTCAAAAAAATCAGTGATATTTTAAAATCCCCATTTTTCACATTTATTTTTGCTTTTTTTGCTCTTTTGTTAAGGGTTTTTAATTGAAATTTAATTTTTTTGGCTCTTCTATTCGAAGAAATTTAAGAAAAAAACATTCAAACAAATTAGGATGGTCATTATATAACTTAGTGCACATATGTGGCTTAGTAAAAAAGTGGAAATAAGGGAAATAACTGCACCAATTCCCCCCTTTCAAAAAAAACTATTTCAGCATTACCACTGATATATTTTATATTAATTTTGGACTTTGAGCAAATTTTTTAAAGTTTGATACCAGCCGAATAAAGTTATAGATGCGCCAGTCTTTTTAGAAATATTTAAAGTACTGGAAGAAACTAGAAAAGGCCTTCACATGTTGATCGTTTTGAGTCTAGCTTGCTAAAATGTGCCCACTAATTTTGCAACCAAAGTTTCAATGGATTTTTTCAAAAAAAATTGCAAAAAAACTGCAAATTTTCAAGGTTCAAACAGCAATTATTGCGATAAAATGAGTGGGGAAAGTTTCGAACAGGGGTCTCCTCTTGTAATTTATATTTCATGAATTGCGGAAGCTCTCGAAACTTCGTTGATAACATTATGCCATCAGTTCGAGCTAATCGAAAGCTTCTTCTTCAAGCCTGGAATGTGAGCTGGAAAAGTACCGGTTTCTTGATGTGATCGAAACGAATCAGCGCATCGGATAAATCAACGTCTCCGAATTCAATAGTCAATTTTTTACAGGTACCATTCGCTGAAATTGCATCAAAAACGTTGGTTTTCTCGGTGTTCGACTTCGATCGTTTCTCGAAACACGATCAAATCGGCCAAGTGTTGATTCCTCTCGGGAAAATTGATCTGGGACAAGTGATCGAAGAGTGGAAAGACATTGCGCCACCACCTGATGACAAAGAAGCGGTAAGTTATCCTCGAGTAACTCGATTTGTCGACGTTTCTGATGTTTTTGAGCGTACCCTATGCATTATTCCTTTTTCTCATGGGTTACTTGTTTTACGGTGTTTTTTTTTTTGGAATTCCTTAAAATGATCGTTTTTTTATGCTTTTTGTGCTGTGCAGTACAAAACGCATGTTGTCACGCGGGTTTCTGCTGTGTTTGTGTGCATGTATGTGTGTGTATGTGTGTGTATGTGTGTGTGTGTGTGCGTGTGTGTGTGTGTGTGTGTGTGTGTGTGT